ATTATATGAATCGATCAATTGATATCAGCAGTAATAATTTTAATTAATTAAAATTTATTACATATTATATTCGGATGATTAGATTTTATGTAGTAAAAAAAGGTAATACAATCAAACAATTCCAATGTTATTATAAATTAATCAGAACAAATATTTGAATCAATCGATTAACATGTGTTATAATAATTTTAGTCAATCAAATATTGAAGTTGTAAAAAAAAATCAATCAAATATTGTAATGATTTTAAAAGTGATGATATGATTTTTGTGTTTATTTTCTTTTTCATATATACGAGATGCGGTTAGGCGTGTCTTTGTCATTTTATGACCCACATGATTTTCGTAGTGTTTATATCCAACCAAAAAATATTCTGCGCAATGCAAGGGTATATTTATAAAAATATAAAAATATATATATTAAAATTTATTATGAGTAAAATTAGTTTAATGATAATAGTTACGGATATACAAATATTTAGAGAGAAAAAATTAAAGTCTCAAAATTATTCTAATTGATTAAAAAAATTTAATGATGATATGCAAATTATTCTACTATATTTAATATAAGTTGAAGAAATTTAAGTATTACATAATAAAATTGTGGAAAAGAAACATCTTTTTTCTAATAACAAATGAAGAAATACGATAATATTAATTTGATTTGATTTAAGGTGGATGTTTGTGAGTTGTGACACATGTATTAACATAAGAAAGACATGGAATCGTGAGAAGAGAATGTATGATGATATGACTTCGTGAAAATTAAGAATGAAATATCAACTTTGAATTCAATTATATGCATTAATTGAATAAATAATTATTACATCCTCATCCGATCATACTTTTTTTAATGTATAATAAAATTGTTAAATTTTGTAAGAATTATTTTCTTTTTATTCATAAAAAATATGATAATAATAATAATAATAATAATGAAGCTCAAACTTAAAAAAAATTCATATATTTCTTTAGTTACATTATTAAATCGACTCTAATAATTTTATATAAAAAAAAAATTTGAAGTGATTTTCAATTAATCAATAATATGTGAATTTAAACTGAATTTAAAACCAAATTTAATATATAGTTTGATCTAATTAATTCATATATCTTCTTTTTAATAAGTATTTACATGAAAGATTTAGGTTTCTTAATATCTGGAATTAATTCTTACTTTTTTTCAATATTAATATTAAGCATAATGGAATATGTACCATAAAATGATATTCTATTAATCAAACTAACTTTTAAAATAAAGTTTCAAAATACCTATATTTTATTTTATAGTACTTGCCAACAAATGAATCTTCTATATCAATTAAACTAATCTCCTCTCCTCTCAATACTTTTTAAGCTAATATATTTTATATTTTTATAAATACTTATATAATTTACGAAATACTTGCTAGCTTAACAAGTTTTTATTCACGTCTAAACCTCTATTTGTAGAATTAGGAATAGACAAATTAATTTGTGACATCTATCTAACATTTCTTAATGGTATAGAGTTAATTTAATTTAATCAATTGAGTTCTAATATATAATTGTGTCAAGTAATTATCCTTCATAATAATTCTATCTTATTTAAACAAGAATGACTTCGATAGAAGATTTTTGTAGTTTATATCAAACATCACCTAACAAAATCTCAAATCACTCTCCAGTCAAATAATCGGGTGGATGATAGAAGATTTAGGTTTTGATCTTCGACATTTGTCCAAAATTCATAATAGTATTCAACTTGCATCATCCACCACATATTTTTGGTAAAAGAAAGAAAGAATCCTACTCAGCTTCACCTATAAAAAATATGAATGATTAAACTCTGGGATCAAGCCATCAGTGCTGGCACTAAACAGTTATTTGTCTTGATATAATAATGATGCTGTATACTCCATGCGACGCAGCCAGAAGAGTATGGGGTCCCATATATATTATGTTTACTAATGCCATGCCAGTAATGCAATCTCGACCAATTTTTGATTTTTGACATTGTGAAGTACTACAAGTACAGCAATATATGAGTTAAGATTGTAAAACTCAAGTCCTTAATCTCACCTGTTTGCTCAGAATTGTATCCTAACATTCGGACAATTGGAATCAAATCAAGGCCCAATAATTCACTAAGTACTCAATTATTCACTATACAATAATAATGTTAGTTTTGATCTACAAGAGATGAGTGACCACCGCAAAGAGGAAACTAAAATGATATGATGTTGCCATGTTATGCTTAATAATTACAAAAAGGAAAGTATTATCTATACTGGAATGTCAATTGGGGAAGTTGACAACCTTATTAAATTAGAGGTAAATGATTGTGTAATTAATTATATATTGAAGCCTTGACCCTGCCTTCCTTACCCCTAAAACTATGGCTGCAAATCTGTGTATTAACAGTATATAGTATTCGAAATGGCAATGGTCACAAAGAAGCACGTCATGTCATGTGTGAATTCTTTGGTAGTAGTTCTACAAAGCAATGTGATTGTGGGACAGTCAACATATGATTAGATTAGTCGGCACAGATTTAAACTATACGCAAAATGATCAATGTCAAAGTCTACAAAAGGATAAATCAATCATAGTATATCATTAACAAGATAAGAATTGTGAATCAATACCAAAGGAAAAGTAAATTATCCCATGACATATTCAAATAACTCGTATGAATTTACCTATGTATAATTATGGGATGCACTAGTGGTTTAATGAGTTACGTGGGTTGGTTTTAATATTTAAACAACATAAATGAAGTCAAGCAGTGTTTGACACGGATTGGTTCGAGATCTGTTACTAATTATAAATTAATAAACTAAGCATGGCAGAGGGAACCAAACTGGCTTGTGTGATTAATCAAATGAGTTAATTAATGGTGGGAAAATTAATGAGATGCATCACCTGAAAAGTGAGAGCCTGTGTTGTAGACTTGTAGGCTAGAAACAAGCAGTAACTCCCAAAGCAAGCATTGACATATGAAAATTCTAATTAAATGTGTCACCGTCCGTGACCTAACTCTAACGGCTGCTTACTTTAAAAGAGAACTTACACTATTGGTTGACATCCAACTATGTGTCCAATATGATGGGAACTTTTTGCTATAAATAGCCATAGGTACCTCCCATAGAAACCACAGCAAATAAAGCTAGCCAAACTCAAACAACTTTCTTATCTCTCTCTTTCACAACTTTTTTGCACCTTCCGATCCAATGGCAGTTCCAGTGATTGATTTTTCAAAGCTGAATGGGGAAGAAAGAGCCAAAACTATGGCACAGATTGCTAATGGATGTGAAGAGTGGGGATTTTTCCAGGTACTTGGTATCATTTATGTGTACAATGAATGGTTACTAATATGTTTGTAACATTAGTTTAAAACATGTTTATACATATCAAAACTCATACTTTGTGTTACAGTTGATCAACCATGGCATTCCAGAGGAACTCCTTGAGAGGGTTAAGAAGGTCTCCTCTGAGTTCTATAAGCTGGAAAGAGAGGAGAATTTCAAGAACTCGACGTCCGTGAAGCTACTGAGTGATTTGGTTGAAAAGAAGAGCAGTGAAAAGCTGGAGCATGCGGATTGGGAGGATGTTATCACTCTCCTTGATGATAACGAATGGCCAGAAAGGACACCAGGCTTCAGGTATATAAATCAAATCAACAGTTCTTCATATTAAAAGAAAACAAAAACCTTATCCCACTGTGCTAAAAGAAAGTCAGACATCACATAAAAAAATGATATTTCATATAAGACCACCACCTGTCTTCTCATGCACACTATTCTATTATGTTGTTTTGTACAACTTCAAGCAAATTGGAATACATCATAATTCAATCAATCCATCTTACTCTTGATGACTAAAACTGGTGATTCCACCAAAACACGGATGACATGAAAGGGAAACCATGGACAAAGACTATAGAACCTACTAATTAAATGGTGTCATGTCATGACACAATAGTAGAAAGCTTCAACATGAATGCATAACTGAATTTTCACATGGATGGCAGGGAAACCATGGCGGAATATCGATCCGAGTTAAAGAAATTGGCAGTGAGGTTGATGGAGGTGATGGATGAGAATCTTGGCTTACCAAAAGGGTACATCAAGAAGGCACTCAATGGTGGAGATGGAGACAATGCCTTCTTTGGCACCAAGGTGAGCCACTACCCTCCATGTCCTCATCCAGAGTATGTGAAAGGACTGCGAGCTCACACCGATGCAGGAGGTGTCATCCTTCTGTTCCAAGATGACAAGGTTGGTGGCCTTCAGATGCTCAAAGATGGGCAATGGATTGATGTGCAACCTTTGCCAAATGCCATTGTCATCAACACTGGTGATCAGATTGAGGTCCTGAGCAATGGTAGATACAAGAGTTGCTGGCACAGGGTTCTGGCCACTCCAGATGGCAACAGAAGGTCAATTGCTTCCTTCTATAACCCTTCACTCAAGGCCACCATATGTCCTGCTCCGCAACTCGTGGAGAAAGAAAACCAACAAGTGGATGACACTTATCCTAAGTTTGTTTTTGGTGACTACATGTCTGTCTATGCTGAGCAGAAGTTCCTCCCCAAGGAACCAAGGTTTCGAGCTGTTAGGGCCATGTGAGAAAACCACTCACTTTCCGTATAGAAAATATATTTGCTCTTCCCCCCGCTTTTTTTTTTTCTACTTCATCTTTTACTATTTTTATGGCTTTTGGTATTATAAGACATGTTTGATAGTAGCAAAGAATGCCATTTGGTTGTGAACTTGTGATTCTCTTCATAAATTTCTCCAGAATCGGGAACCACCATGGTATTTGTTTTCCTTTTTTTAGAATATTGTTTTATCTTTCAATGTCATGGGGGGAGCTAGTGTGCATCAATCTATGCTTGATTTGTACAATAGTTTCATTACATAAATTCCACTCTAAAGTTGTCCACCATAAACTTCTCTTTATTCTTCCCTTTGTATATTGTTGCCCTGCTCTGGTTTCAGTTATCATTCAATTACAGATGTTTGCTCTAACATAGGAGTAAATATCTTACTTTACAACGCAATCAATTACGAGATGTTTTAGGATAAGAAACTGCCACCTAGACCATGTCCAATGAGTTATTCTCTGAAGAGTTATTAGAATAAGAACCGATTCTTATTTTTTTACCATTGGAGTGGAGTGACCTAGCTATCATGTGTAAAACTGGTTTTTATATAAGAACCTACAAGAACTAAATTCTTGTAAATAAAAAATAAAATAAAAAAAGGAAAATAAATGAGTTTATCATGAAATACACATAAAATGAATTAAAAACTCAAATTATATTCTTCCATTAGTAAAAAAATAGAAAAAGTTCTTAAATCCTACATGGTATTGAGGAACCCATAAAAAAAATACATTAAGAACACAAAATGAATTGTACTATTGGCACTTGCCCAGTTGCCCTCAGCCATGTCAAAGTATGTGTTTTCCTTTTCTTTTGGTGAGGCATCATAATAAATTTTATAATTGGTTCGAGTTACACTCTTTTGCTTGTTATAAGTAAACAAATACAGATTTTACAAGTCACCAAATAGCCAAACACTTTTAAATCATATAATCCTTACAAGGAAAATGTAAATACTTGGGTAAAGTTTGCGTGAATCCAGCCGGCTAACAGAAACTGTGGTTGATTTTCTTCTTCCAAGGAGCTAGGCCATTGACATTGTCACGTGAAAAATATACATAAGATGGCAGAACTTATATTTGCCGGAAAGCGTATGAAATAGAGAGAACGTGAATTGGAACCGGGGAAGTGTCTAGCACCTTATGTCTGTATTATTTACGTTAAAATATAGCTATGTGCAGCCAAATGGTACTAGTAGTATCTAAGCTACTACAAAATCCATGACAGCTACTATTTCAACAGAGTATAATAATGAGAAGAAGAAAAAATCTATGCTCAGTCAGGCAGACAGTGGTGAACTTTGAGATACACCAATGACCTGCTTCTGAGATCAACAATTGGCAGCTTTAAATGTCAATATACAATAAAATGGAAAAAAGAAAAAAGAAATAGTAAACCCTATCTTCGCATGGAAGCCAATGTTAGAATTTGGTAGTAACTAATACTGCAGCAAAGTTCTGCATTCTTAACGTATAATCTGTACAGCAAAATAACGCATCTCGGTTCTTCCCTTTCATGTTCTTTATAGGGCCTTCTGATCAAGCCTTTCATTCCAATTTAGGCAGCGAATCAAGCTATGAAACCAATCACCTGTTTGGTCAAACTTATTAACTGTTGGAAGCGGGCGCTGACTCATAGATATTCGAACCGAATCTCCTCTTGAAAGTTGCTGCCTTCTCTTTCCATCAAATGAAACCCAGGCGTTGCTTCTTGCGTTCTCTGGAATCTGTTAACAATAAAATTGTCTCTCAAATTCTAATCACAAAACCCTAAATCATATTAGTTAACCCCTAAATTCCAAATCATACGAAATAAATGTGTCTCTAAATTCACTGATTTTTATTACCATGTAGCTTTTCCAATACATTCCTGGGAAACAATTTAGCATATCTACAGAAGGCAAACGTTTTTTGGCCTAGAAGATGCATCATAAGCAATTAAACATGCAACTTTGGTAACAAGAACATGCGATATGAGACTTTTGCGATTTTGCCATATAGAGAATGATTAACTTCACCTTTAATTCAAGTTGAGCAGAATCTGGAAGTATAACTGGTCTAAATGAGAGCGAATGTGGACAGATTGGGGTAAACAGCATGCAGGGAACGTTTGGATGGACCTGCCATTTTTTTTTGTTCATTAGAAATAAACATCAATGAAAACACTAATTAATTCAGGTCGATTTTATACTGTTAACTTTGTATAGAAATTCCGTGAATAATGACTGAACTTTTTCTGAAAATGTTCGCTCTTCCACTTTTCACATAATAGAAATCACATACAAAAGGAAGCATAAAAACAAAGAGCATGTTCATTATGGGACAACATAATGTAAGTATAGATTATATGAAACTTTTTTTGGGGGAGGGAGGAAGGAAGGAAGGAAGGAGAGGAGGACTCTATTTAAACATGTTCTTTATTCCACAAAATGATTATGTTAGTTATGCTTTTGAACCTACCCTAGCTGTAACCTTGTTTGGTCCGTTGGGTACTCTTTGGATTATATATATATATAATCCTTAGAATGTAAAACAGAGATTACACACAATTCTGAATACTGAATAAAGCAAGAGAGGATCAGTTGCCATCCGTGGACGTAACCCATTGGTTTTGGGTGAACCACGTAAAATTCTTCGTGTGTTTTTCTTTTCTTCCCTTTCACTATTTTTCTTTACTCTGTTTCTGTTTTTCTTTGTCTTGGCTGTGTTTTATTTTGATCAACAGATTCATCATATTCACAACAAACTGGCACCAGAGCACAGGTTGCAATCAAGAAGGGGCCAAATCTCGTTTTCAAAACGTAACTCTTATATGATATTTTCCGGCTTCCGCTGCTACTGTGAAAAATAAAACTATCAAGAACCATGACGAACACCATCAAGATTGAAAAATTCAATGGTAAGAACAGCTTTAACCTCTGGCGTATCAAGATGCATGCACTGCTAAAGGAACAAAGAGTTTGGGGTCCCTTGGCTACCACTTCCGTAAAGAAAGAGAGCAAAACTGAATTGTCCAACAAATCAACCTCCATAAAGAAGGAAGATCTTGCAGAACAAGAAGAGAAAGCTCATTCCTTGATTCTACTTTCTCTATCAAATGAAGTGCTCTATGAAGTTGCAGATCAAGAAACAGCTTGTGGTCTATGGTTAAAGCTTGAGAAGCTCTACATGACAAAGTCCATCTGTAACAAGCTACTACTGAAGCGTCGCTTGTTTGGCTTGCACATGAAGGAAAGTACTCCACTAAAGGAACATTTAGATGAATTCAATTCAATTTTGATGGAACTCAGAGACATTGATGTCAAGATTGAAGATGAAGATTCAGCAATGATCCTTCTAGCTTCGCTACCACCTTCATATGAGAGTTTTGTGAACTCTCTAAGTGTTGGAAAGGATTTCATCACTCTAGAGGAAGTGAAATCAAGTCTACACTTGAGGGACCTACGACACAAAGCCTCTGCAAGTATTGAGGAACCAAATGGCATAGGACTTGTTGTTACTAATCTTTCAAAGAATAGCAAGAAGAAGAAAGACAAGGGCAAGAAAAAGTCAAAGGGTAATCACATAAACCCAAAAGATATATGCAATTACTGTAAAGAACCCGGTCACTGGAAGAATGACTATCCAAAGAAGAAAATTCAAAAACCAATTGTTGCAACTGTCCAAGATTCTACTACCTCATCAGAAAATGAGCTTGTACTCTCGATTGTTGACAACCACCAACAATCAGCTGACAAATGGGTACTTGATTCAGGATGCTCTTATCATATGTGCCCTAATAGGAGCTAGTTTCTCACATATGAAGAGAGATTAGGAGGAAGAGTTTTCATGGGAAATGATATGCCGTGCAAAACAGTTGGTATAGGTACAGTCCAACTCAGGATGCATGATGGAGTGATCAGAACTCTTACAGAAGTAAGACATGTACCAGATCTGAAAAAGAATCTTATCTCTGTTGGAGTTCTAGATTCTAAAGGCTTTAAGTGCAATGTTAAAAATGGGGTAATGGAGATCAAGAGGGGGGTCTACAGTTGTGATGAGAGGTTTTAAGAAGGGAAATCTCTATATGCTTCAAGGATCAACTAGTTCTATATCAGAATCTGTTTCTGTTGCTAAAAAGAACATACATGATCTCACCTACCTATGGCACATGAGACTTGGTCACATGAGTGAAAGGGGAATGATGATTCTAAGCAGGCAACAATTGCTTGGAAATCATACTGTCAAAGAACTCAGATTCTATGAGCAATGTGTTTTTGGTAAACAGCACAGAATCAAGTTTCCAAAAGCTCAACATTCAACCAAATCTACTTTGGATTACATTCACTCAGACTGCCGGGGACCTTCTCAAGTACCTTCGCTTGGAGGAGGCAGGTATTTTCTCTCAATCATAGACAACTACTCAAGGATGACTTGGATATTCATTATGAAGCACAAAAATCAAGCTTTTAGATGCTTTAAGGAATGGAAGATTTTGATGGAAAAACAAACAAGTAAAAGGGTCAAAAGATTGAGGACCGATAATGGTCTAGAATTCTGCACAAAAGAATTCAATGACTTCTGCAAGGCTGAAGGTATTGCTAGACAATACACTATAAGAAACACTCCACAACAAAATAGAGTTGCCGAACAGAACTCTGCTGGAGAGAGCTAGATGTCTTCTATCAAATGCTAGATTGAGTAGAAGTTTTTGGGTTGAAGTAGTAAGCACAGCTTGTTATTTGATAAACAGATCACCATCCACTGTTATAGATTGTAAAATACCTATTGAGGTATGGTCAAATAAACCTGCAAACTATTCCTTACTTAGAGTTTTTGGTTGCAATGCATACTATCATGTTAATGAGGGTAAGTTAGAACCTAGATCTAAGAAGGGTCTGTTCATGGGATATGGTGATGGAGTTAAAGGGTATAGAATCTGGTCACCTTCTAAAAGAAAGGTTATTCTAAGTAGAGATGTTATATTTGATGAATCTCACATGTTTCACCCGAGTTTGGAGTTTACTGTTTCAGGTAGAAATCAAATAGTTCTCAAACAGATGGAGGATGGTAACACTTCAGGAACCACACAAGATAAGGACAAATCAGAAGATCTTAATGAAGAGTCACAACAGCAACAATTCGAAGTTGATGATAGTGATCCCTCAAGTCCTCAAGGATCAAGCCTTCAAACTCAATTTGATACAGAAGCCTATCAAAAGCCTAAAAGAATATCTAAGCCTCCTTCCAGGTATGGTTTTGAAGACATGTTGACGTATGCACTGCATGTAGCAGAAGAAGTTGATACATCTGAACCAACCACATATAAGGAAGCCATGGATCATATCGAAGCAGATAAATGGATCCTTGCTATGAAGGAAGAAATGGAATCACTTCAAAAAAACCAAACCTGGAAGTTAGTAAAATTGCCAAAAGGAAGACATGTAGTAGGATGCAAATGGATCTTCAAAAGGAAACCTGGAATCCCTGGAGTTGAACCCTTAAGATACAAAGCACGTTTAGTCGCAAAGGGGTTTAGTCAGAAGGAAGGTGTGGATTTTAATGAAATCTTCTCACCCGTTGTGAGGCACACTTCTATAAGGGTTCTTCTAGCCCTTGTAGCCTGTCAAGACTTAGAACTTGAGCAATTGGATGTAAAGACAGCCTTCTTACATGGAAGACTAGAAGAGGATATCTTAATGAAGCAACCGGAAGGCTTTGTGAAATTAGGAAAAGAAGATTGTGTGTCAACTACAAAAGTCACTCTATGGACTGAAACAATCACCTAGGCAATGGTACAAGAGATTTGACACTTTCATGATCAATAAAGGGTTCAACAAAAGTCCCTATGACTGTTGTGTTTACCATAAGAAGGTGGAGGATGGCTCTATGATTTATCTTCTACTATATGTAGATGATATACTCATAGCTGCCAAGAACAAATCTGAAATTCAAAATCTGAAGGCTCTTTTGAGTGGAGAATTTGACATGAAGAATTTAGGTGCTGCCAAGAGGATCTTAGGAATGGAAATCTACAGAGACAGATCTCAAAAGAAACTTTTTCACTGTCAGAAAGATTATATTCAAAAGATTCTGCATAGGCTCGGTATGCATAATGCAAAGCCATTGAGTACACCGATGTCGGTCAAAGAAAAATTGAAGAATGTTCCTCATCCTATATGCCAAACTGAACAGAATAATGCTTTACAGGTTCCCTATGCAAGTGTTGTTGGAAGACTAATGTATACTATGGTATGTACTAGGCCTAATCTTGCTTATGCAGTTAGTGTTGTAAGTAGATACTTGAATCAACCACAAAAGGAGCACTGGCAAGCGATTAAAAGAATATTCAGATATCTGAGAGGAACATCTGATATAGGCCTAATCTATGGAACAAACACAAATTGTTGCCTAACTGGATACTCTGATGCAGATTATGCAGCTGATTTAGATGGAAGAAAATCTATCACTGGATATGCTTTCACACTTGGAAGCTGTCTAGTAAGCTGGAAAGCAACTCTTCAATCTTCAGTTGCGCTATCTACAACTGAAGCTGAATACATGGCCTTAACTGAAGCTGCAAAAGAAGGGATATGGCTAAAAGGTTTGATATCTGATTTAGGTGTTAAACAGGAGCATGCACTGATTTTTTGTGATAGCTTAAGTGCTATCTGTCTTGCTAAAGATCAAGTACATCATGAAAGGACCAAGCACATAGATGCAAGGTACCACTTCATCAAATCAGAGAAAGAATCAAGGTTCAGAAAATTGACACTCTTCACAACCCAGCTAACATGTTCACAAAAACTGTCCCTAAGAGCAAGTTCTTTCACTGCCTGGACTTGCTCAATGTTGATTGTTGGAAATAGCTCTCTAAGATAGGTGGCAACAGAAATTTTCTTGGTAATAAAATTTGATGCTTTCTCTACTAAGGAGGTTCAAATGCAAGGTGGAGGATTGTTAGTTATGCTTTTGAACCTACCCTAGCTGTAACCTTGTTTGGTCCGTTGGGTACTCTTTGGATTATATATATATATAATCCTTAGAATGTAAAACAGAGATTACACACACAATTCTGAATACTGAATAAAGCAAGAGAGGATCAGTTGCCATCTGTGGACATAGCCCATTGGTTTTGGGTGAACCACGTAATATTCTTCATGTGTTTTTCTTTTCTTCCCTTTCACTGTTTTTCTTTACTCTGTTTCTGCTTTTCTTTGCCTTGGCTGTGTTTTATTTTGATCAACAGATTCATCATATTCACAACAGATTACAAACCAAAAAAAGGGGGTTTCAAAGGAGGGAGGGAGACTGCGTTCAGGTGTATATCTGCAACAAATTCAGTTTTGTCAATCACTGACATTTCCAAAGTAGTTAAGAAAATATTGATCATTACAACTTAATTAATATCACTAGTTTTGGTCTCCTTATAAAATAATAAAGATTCTCATACAGTTTCTTAAGCTGCCACTTATAGTGCAATGCCATCTATTGAGTGTAGGAAAGTGCAGGTTAGGTAATCTTGGATGAACCAACAATGGCGTGAGTTTATAACCACTGTCTATCAACATTAGAAATGACCGAATCTTCAACTCCAAAAGTTAGTTCATGAGGGAAGGATTTCCCAAGTCTTATGAGGAGTATAGTGGTCATATTCCTAGCCCAATATGGGACAATCTTAACAATCAAAGTATTACGAGGCAAAAATACCAAGCCAGTTCATCCGATTAATTTAGTGAAATTATAGCCCAGTTCATGCTCCTAACAAAAACAACTCTCTCAAGCTTACCATGGAACCTCCAGCAGCTGTAGAATAGGCAGTGCTTCCAGTAGGGGTGGCCACAATGACTCCATCACCTTGTACCTGAAAGACATGACAATCATCACATAACAGGAATAACACTGCTTCCAAACGGTGTTTAGAGATCATGAAATTTAAAAAGCTCTCATCACAGAATATAGAAGATAGAAATTTGGTGTGCAGATAACAAATACATAATCGAACATGCCTTGGTTATAAGTCTACCATGTTCATAACATTCGATCTTTGAAAGGTATGGATTAGATCCCCGATCAACAACAACCTCATTGAGAATATCAAATACTTTCCCTGGTACAGCTTTACCCTTACGAAAAATTTCACATCGGAGACGCATTCTAAGAGTGATGTACACTCCATCTCGTGTATTATTACCATGGATAACTTGTTGCAAGTCCTTCTTATAGTCTTCGAACTAGGAACAGAAAACAGAATTGAAGTCAAAATATATGGCCAAAAAGATACTGACATTTCTTGATAGAGAAATAAATGATGAATTTGAAAGGCATACATTATGAGAAGTCAGAAAACCAAGGGAACCAAGGTTAAATGACACAACAGGGGGAACAGCACCTCTGAATAGATTTGAAGCATGCAGTATAACACCATCTCCTCCCAAACATGCTACAAGATCAACTTTCTCATGGAGATCACTGAATCAGAGGCATTAGATATGTTATGCAAAAATTTAACGAAGCACAGATTTTATACAAGGGGAAAAAAGCTAAGTTGTTGCACATAAATTAACAAACTCAAGTACCAAGTATCCTGACTATAGAAGGTCTGAACAAATCCAAACCCAGGAATTCTAGCAAATATATCGTGCACATCAGGTTCCACGAAAACGTTCATTTTCTCTTGGAAATACAGAAAAGAAGCAACCTGCAGATCAGAAACTCTACTGAGAATGAATTTAATCAAATGTATTGCAAAAAAATCCATAATAAATAATAAATATATAGTTTCCAAAAGAATAAAAGTCACAGAAGTACCAATTGCTGTTGGAATACCATTACGAATCAAAGTTCAGAATAGCATTCCCCATTCTCATATTCCCTAAAAGATGTTTCCTAATTTTAATTCCTTTGTTACATAAGAGATTAAACATATTTGTCTCCTGTGCACTAGTAATGAAAAATATAGATCAAACCATCCCCAATAGCTTTTTGTGCATAAAATTCCTGTAATCCATCTTGTAAAGTTTACATCTACAATCCCATAGATATTGATAATTCCTCTGTTCAGGCTTTGGCTTATTTACTGTATTGAGCCTAAATAAATCAGTATGGGCCTAAATGAGGCCCACCCTACAATTGTGATTCTTCACTATAATGGAGAAATGGACATATAAGGTTGAGCAAAGATATAATTACAAAGTACCTAATACCTATGGAAAGCAACATCAATGCTTGGCAAATATGATGCTAATTTTTTTTCAAATAAACTGCTCCTGTTAAGCCCCTTCATAGAGCACCTAGAACCTACCCTGAGCACTGATCTCAATGCCTCTCCCCTCTCCATAACAGGACTTATAACTATGCATAACAAAATGCAAATTTGTTCTTAAACATCATTGTTAGATTTTAACCAAAAAAAGTAAAAACTTTTACCAAAAAAAAACTTTGTTAGAACCTCCGATATCTAGGCCATTGGAAACAAAATAGGGCTAATTTTTTAATGGTTTTGATGCTTCTTAGAGCCAAAAAAATATATATTACCTCTCTAGCTTCTTCCATGAGCTGCTCCCCCGGCTTTTTCAGAAGTAACACAGTCTTTGGTGTAGATTTCCACATAAGCATCTGTTGTTGGGTGCTAGGATGAGTAAAGGCCAAAGAGGATTCACTCACCCTCTCTCTGGCACAAGAAAACCCATCAGTTCGTACTAAGAACATTTCTGCTTTCTTTCTTGACTGCACCCTTACCACCCCTGTTGATGAAGCACACATGTCTCCTTTGATGAGCCCCAAGTCTTCATCATGTAAAGCTAACCCAGAGTCATTTTTATCGTCTCCAATCCTCTGAGAGTTAGTATTGGCATTATCAATATCATTGTTCACAGTGGCAGAGACATTGGCATCAGTCCTGTAACACATATCCCCTTCACTAATCCCATTAACTGTTGTGCTAACAGATCTAGAAGTATTCACATTCACTAACTTCCAATTGCTACCAACTGTGACCTGGGGCACTCCAGATGGATAATTCATGTGAGCTGACCCATTGGAACTTTTTGCAGGACCCACAGTTTTAGGTTCAGGATTCCTTGAATCTGGCAAGCATTCCTGATAACTGAAATGAGAGGGTTTTGAGATATTCCTAGTTCCCAAAAATTTGGACATCTCTTTTTTGGAAAAGATATCAAAAGGAGGAACTTGAGCATCTAAAGGGCTAGTTTTGCTGGAGAAAATTGGAAAAGATCCCTCTTTATTAGCAGAAGTGGCTTGCGGCGAAGCCCTGTCATTAGGAGTAAGCTCACTAAACCAGCCCCCATTACCTTGCATTCTTTCATTATTCTTCTCTGAAGAGGTACACAAGTCAAATGAACCAACAGAACCATGTGTTGCACCCAAACCCTCTTGCAGGAAATTAGTATCTTTTTGCAGAGAGGCTTCCTCAGCAATCTTTGAATCCTGCAGTTTTCCAAATCCATTTGTATAATCCATTTGTGATGCAAAGCGAGTCATGTACTGCCTCCATCTGGAAACCATGGCAGATGTTCTCCAAACCCCTTCCTTGCTGTGAAGATAGATTGGTCTTTTGCTGCAATCTGAAACATAAGATGCAAACCTCTCAACCTCTTCCATTGTAGGTGCAGTGCTAGCTTTAACAGGGATTTTGACCAACTCAATACTTCCAGATGCAATAGCATCACGAAGAGCTGCTTGATAGAAGTTATCTTTTACATCCTCTGCTCTGAGATCTATGATAGTCTTATATCCTTTATCAAGTAACCACTTTAGACCTTCTTCCATTACCTGCCCGCCAGTCCAAAAAGCTGCTTCAGATTCTTTGGACTCCATGTCCTCTTTTGAAGTGTATAAATACACAGGACTCCAATTCGCAAATAGCACAGGACATGGATAATCCTCTTCACGAGGAAATCCAGAATCATAGCACACATTCTTCAGTCTCTGAAGTTTCCTCCACACATCCAAGCTTCTATCATCGCCAGGAATCAAATAGTTCTCAAGAGCAACATGCAAACTCTCACAACACCTCTTCATCTCGCTCCTGAAAAGGGCAAGCGGTGGGAGCATATCCTCCATATCGCCAACCTCTGCTGAACGGAAGGGAGTCACAATTGAAGATCTTCCAGAAAGAACATCCTGCCTCCCACTGTTCACAAGGGCCACAATACATCCAAGGACAGAAACAATTTTATCCTCTAGAAGCGGTTTCTCATCGGATGGAACCTCATAGGAAACACTGCATTCACCAGTGAGGGGGTTACATAAGGCATCAATTAACGCAGAATGAAGCCTTTCAGAATTCCTAAAGATCCTACAATATGCCTCCACTTCAGCAATGTCACCAGGAACTGGACCTGTCCATGGCAACCTTGATGGAGCATGGGACTGAATGGAATTCAAGCTCTGCAAAGTGCACATAAAAACATTTAAAGAAAAACAAGAATCTGAAAGAAAAAAAAATGTATATATATGTGTGTGTATGGAAGGAATCAAATTATACCAGTGTAACTATTTCCTACTATTCTATTACAACATTTGAATGATTATTTTTCAAAACTTTAGATTGAAAGTTCCCTTCACCTGGATCATGTATACAAAGTTTGATATTGATCTAAAATTATTTGATCCTTCATTTATATAGATCAAAATTGTCATAATATATATTTCAAAATACACTAAAATATGAATAATTTATTACTTTCTTATTTTGTTCAATTTTAGCAATATTTACATTGAAAGTGATATAAAGTTAATTCAACGGTTGGGTTTTTCATCCACACACACGTGTGTTGTACATGTATATATCAGTAGTGAATTCAATTCATGAATGCATATAAACCCTTAATTTATCATGGAATATTTATTTACAAAACATCAATTGGGTGCTGCTAAAATATTAAAATTTTGCGATCATGCCCCTTCAACAGTAACTAATCGCGATGGAAATGGGGGGTTGGACTCATAGTTGTGGATAAGTAAGTGGAAACATGAAAGTAGGAGTTAGTGAAACAGTGAAAGAAACCTGAGAGTGAGAATCCAATCCGAAATTGTAGGAAAAAGATTTGGAAAGTTGGGCGGCGACTCGGTGTGTGTTCCTCCGCAGCTGGAACAAGCCTGTGGCGTTGCCATAGAACACAGACACAACGGTGGGAGAAACCCGGTCGACGGGGAACACCATGTGGCACAGACAGAGAGTGTGTGCCAACATGGGAATTCACAAACACAAACAAAACAAAAACTTGGTTGAGAATGGGAATGTTTTTTGTTTGGATTTGGATTTGGATGCCACGGAATGAAGGAACTCAACGGGTTTCATTTTCTTTGATTTTGATGTGGGATGGCCCTTCTCGACAACATTTGTCCTACGTGTTAATTGTCTTTTTAAAATTATTTACACTAAATTGCATTTTTTCCTTTATTCTCATTCTTCGTAATTTTGGTCTATTAATTTTTAAATAAAAATATTTAAGCTTTTAATTTTAAAATTTTAAAATTTTAATTTTTTTTATTTAAATTAACACATGTTAATCATAAATTATAACATTTTTCCATACTTCATCTTTAAATAATATAATATTTAGTAGATAGCATATATAGAAATAAAAATCTAAAAAAATATATAAGTAAATTTATTAACTAAATATATATGTATATATATCATCCGTTAAATAAATATAAGAGAAAAAAATTTCACCATCATTAAATATCAAATTCCTTAAACAGTGACACAACGTTAAAATTTAATAATTAATAAATATTAAATTAATAATAGAATAAAATTTTATATTTTTAAATATATATATATAATATATTTATTTTAAAATAAAATATTAAAATTTTAGATTAAATAAATAGATAAACAAAAATATAATTTAGTCAATTATTTATTTACTCTTCAAATATAATGTTACAATTTTAAATTTTAATATATCAAATAAATTTGTGAAAGTTTGAATTAATATCCACATTAGTTTTTTTTTTCACAGAAAATATCCACATTAATTTAACATTAAAAAAGTGTGAATTTTTATATAAAATAAAATAAAAAGAGCTTACTTCAAGACTTATATATATACATATATATATATATATATATATACATATTCAGAAACTAAATTAATAAAAAGTAGTTAAATTTATAAATTTATTTGACGCTTTAAATACTTATTTAAAATTTGTTTAACTTCAAAAACTAATATAATGGAGTTTATTACAAGACTAAAGTGATTAATTATTCTGCAAAAAAAAATGAGAATTTAATTTGTTTGCAAATTGATTATATTGTAATAACACTATAAAAAGTTTAAGTTTAACTGTTTAAGGATAATGTATTAAGTTTGTTAACTTTTTCATTAACTATTTTAAAAGTTATACAAACTTTTATATTTGATTAGTTGATTGTGTAAAATTATTTTATATTTTTGGTACATTGTTGTTAAACTCTAGTAATATTTTGTTTGATTTCATAAGTGCTTGCAGTGCAATTACATCTAAGAAACTTTTTTTTATTCATCAAAGTTATAATGACAATGCTAAAATTTAATCATAAGACATGGTACAAATAATCTCAACTCCTAACCACTAAGTCAAACATTAGTGGCTCTACATCTAATATAACTCATTTTTGCTTCTTTTTTTTCTCATTAAAAGGTAAATAATGTTTGATGAACCGATTATTTTTAAACAAATTGTTTAATTCACTAAAAATCATGATATTGAATAAGATAAATATAATTGTTATGATATTGAATAAGATAAATAAAATTGTTTGATTTACAAAAGGGTTGTGAGATTGAATAAAAAATAATAAATAAATAAATATATATATATATATATAAATAAATAAAAGATGAAGAAAGATAGGACAAAAATTTAAAATAAATCATAAAGCAATTTTTTGTCTTAAATATAACAACACTTATTATCGTGGAATTACACTTAATCCTTTATTCTGGTCACATAACATCACTAATCATCGTCCTTGTCTACCATCATGGAATTACTAGCAAATGTCACCCATCACCATCCTGCCTTTATCACCATCATTATTATTATTGTCACCATCATCAAAATTATTGTCGTTATCATAATTTTTGTCACTATCGTCCGTATTAAGATATTAATAACTTATTACAATAATCAACATTAAAAAATATATTATAATAAATTAAATATTATTTTATTTATGACGTCTATTATTCACCAAACAATATATAAGACAAAAATTCATCTAATAACTTAAGTTGTTGTCCTATGCTATTTTTCTTGTAATATCTTAAAATGTATCAAATTCACGCAAGATATATATACAAAATTATGATTAAAAAATTTATACCCGAGTAGGAGTGAAAGATAAAAGAAAAATTAAGTATCTTCAAGCCTCTCCCTCTACACATCATCTATTTTTTAAAACAATAATTAAAGTAAAGTTTGAACTTAAAACATGCATGCCACTATCATTAAATATATAACTTGTACTTTCACTACTAAACAAATCCAAATAATTATCATATATTATCTATGGAACAATTATAATATGATGCAATTAAATTTTCATTACATATAAAAAAAATCATGATTTCATCTCTATAAAATTAAATTATATAAATTATTAAACCAAATTTATATTTAAACGCCCAGTAGCATTTAACGCCTTAATAATTATCATATATTATCTATGAAAAAAATTATAATATGATACAATTAAATTTTCATTAAATATAGCATCAATAATATACTCATAAAAAAAATCATGATTCCATCTCTATAAAATAAAATTATATAAATTATTAATCCTAATTTATATTTAAACGCGCGATAGCATTTAACTCATATCAATATTGCTTCTAACTTTACTTTATACTCGCAATCATGCTTCTTGCAATTTTCAGTCTCAATAATAGACAAACTACTCTTAACACAATATATGCAAGAGTTACGATTTAATTAATCGCAACTAAATTAGTGATTTAAATCTATGATTTCATCTCCAATTATAGACTAATATATTTCTTAAACCAATGTTGTATTTTTTTTTTTTCATTTATAGAAAATAAACAGCCACCACTAAAATTCGGTTAATGCTGCTCGTTGTGGAAACTTACAAATTTCCTTCAATAACCTTTGGAGCTCATTATTTGGAACTTGCCTAATATAACTTTCTCTCTCAACCAACATTCTATTTCTTAGACATGTCATGCTTGTTTAATTGCATGTGGAGTAGAGAAGTACAATTGCTTTAAGAGAAGCGTAAAGGCCATAAGACGCTTTGTCAGTACATCACTAATAATAACAATAAATCTATCTATATTTCGAGTAACATTGCAAGGACGTTAATTACAAAAAAAGATAAGGGAACTATTTGATAGAGAAGGGGATTAGGAAAAAATTAAAAATAAAAAATGTGACAGACATTCTGCTTCGTAAACCTCTAAACTTCCTACTTGATATCACGTTAGCTTGACTGTTCAAGATCAGGAAGAGATGTTGGCTGAGGATTTGATTTGGTGGGAAGTGGCCCTGTAGACTGCTTTAGGGGCTTGGTCCTCTCTTCTCCCTGAAAGGAAGCTACCTTCTCTAGACCTAAATGTGGTCCTTCCAAATCAAGTTCTGGTCTTCTCTTTAACTTCTTATTTAAAATACCATTTCCAACCCTCACATCGTCCAGGGAACTGCTTAAAATTACCTTTGCTTTTTCTTGTTTTAGCCCATTCATTGGACTGGGAACACGACCAGTTGTGTTTGTATAAGAAACTTGCTTGTTCCCTGAAATAAAAACATGGCTGCTAGACTCTGGAGCTACTCTGTCTCGTAGGTTCTGCTGTGAAGTAATGGAACCGGTATCAAATTGAACATTCTCCTCTAGCTTAGGTGTCAGCAACTTTTTCCTCTTTATTTTTTCCTTATCCTTATAACAAACAAGAAACCAATGAGATAACAATCAACTTAAAAATCAATATTGTGCAGACAGATATAAAATCCTGGTTATCATCAGGGCATAAGAAGAATCAAATGTTCTTCCGTTGTTAATGAGATTTATTCAATGTTTTTTCATGCTATAAAACACCAAGATGATTTAACTTCTTTTTCACGCTATATTACTTTATGGAAAGTATAGTGTATGAACATTAAAGAAGGAGAAAAGAAATCAACACTTTGGAGGCTTCACGAGAACAAGAAACATGATCCTTGGAGCCAGACAGCTTCAGTTGTCTGAATTAACATCAGCATTATTATTTGGAAAGTAATATGTCCTTCTAATAGACAAAATAGCCAGATGCCAGCAACACTATATGTAATCCAAATAGAATACCAATGAAATGAAATGGTGCAAAAGGTTTCCACTATCGATATCATACTCATTTCACAATATGAACTATAACAAAAGAGAAACATAGTTATCATTTTCTGAATATGCTTGAGTGCTTAATTCCACCCAGCAGAATAGATTAGGATTTTTTATATACAAGAGAATTACAAAGATAATTAATGCCAAAGCAATTTACAAGAGAACAGTTCGGATACCACTACTTCCTATGATGCATTGAACCTAACAATAATACCAAGTATCCAGGCAACTTGGAAAAATAAACATTAAAGGAGTTCTTATATACTAAAATCTTCCTATTTCCAACATGAACTTTGGTAAAATTATGGCCTTGGTGAACTTGACTACCACCCCAAGCATGTTTAGTTTTCAACATGGCAATGTCATTTTCGATATTACAGTAGAGCACAGACAATGTTATGTTCGTGAAATTCTTTCTTTTGTTAAAATATTGAGAACAGGGAGAAATTGTTCTACTTTAGAGATGGTGAGATTTGAATAAAGCTTCACTAATATCAAAAATCATTAACTGCAAAAGGCATACCTTATGTTTGTTGTACAGTGCTCTGCGCCTCTCTTTTGCCCTGCAAATTCCACGTTTGATCCCATGGTTGTCCATGTAACCACTGGGCCATAACTCTGCAAGCTGAAGACAAGAAAGTTGAAAATTTTAAAAATATAAATATATTTGTTCATATAATGCAACAGACTAACTTCACACCAATAAACCAAATCAAACTCAGCAAGCAAGTTAAGAACTTCAAAAACCAAATTGATTGAGTTTTTGGTCCTCAGTCCGAAAAACACAATGCAAGCAACCCAGTAGTTCTGCAAAACCAACATTGAGTCGAAGATTTAGAAAATTTAAACCACCTCAGCATACAACTTTCTGATCTGTGGACCTGCATTTTCATCCAACCCCTACAGCAATCACAAACAAGGTTCAATAAGAAAGCTTTGTCACAAACAAAAGAATTTCATGATAAATATCTATAGATAAAATCTATACATCAACAAAAAGATCATAGAGATCACAAATCTTGTCCTCCAATGCAGCATCCATAATAAACTTCCTTTTAGTTATTGGTTTTCCATCAGGACTAAATTCTTGAAAATCACCGGATGTTCCACCTTTCTGCTGCTGCTGAAGTGCACAAAAAACACCATGTGTCCAAAATTAAATGAACAAAATATTAGTTAAGGAAAAAATATGATTGAATATCAAGGAATAGTGAAAACACAAAATGATATAGAAAGAAAACACGAGTGAATATTATAACTGAAACCAATCAAAACACCTTTTCAATGATCCATTAGTAAGCTTGCCATAACTAGCGTTTGCAGTGCAAATGCTAAATTAATTTGAATCCATTAAGGGAGCAACCAATGAAAGAGATGACATGAATTATGATGCGAGAAACAAATCATGATGAACCAGCAAGGCTAAAATGATAGAGAACATGAATGTGCAAACACAAGAACACCAAAGAACATATCACATGATGTTGACAGATAGAACAACAAACAATTCAACAAATCTTAAGCTACATATTGGAGGCATTGTGAGCTCATCAGAATTGAACAGCACGTAAGCCAGTTTACCAATATTTGATAAAGAATAGAATAGCATGGGAAACTACAATAAACCTTGGATTCCAGAGTTGGGGCCTGCATCTTAATCATATCAACAACTTCCTTCTTTATCTGTTGAAACCTGTTATCCTCCTCCTGCTTTGCTGAGAGACCCATATTGATCATTATTTTTAAGTTTCTCTGGCGTAGAAAAAATTGTATGAGAAGATAAATAGTTTCAGGAATCAAGAACGACCTAAATATACCTTAACTACAATGAATAAAAGAAATGAATAACAGTTATGGAAATTGTCTATACACAAAGATGAAAAATATCCAAGATAAATTAAAGGTGAATTTTTTATTCCTCATGAAGACAGTTTTAGTTGAAATGAAATTGCCAAAGTACTATCATTCATTAAGAGATAATATTGTCAAAGCTTCATAGTAATACAACATTAAGGTGCTCAAACAGAAGGGAAATGGAAAAGGTGCTCAAACAAGCATACTCAAGTCTCTACTCCACATAACACTAAAATAAAGGGTTATCTGTTTATATTTAACATGCTGCAATACCTTTAATGTTCTTAGCTGAATCAGATGCCCAAGAATACTCATAAGTCGGTTAATTAATTCTTTTGATACTTTCCCGTGGGTTGCCTGATGCAACAAAAACATTTAGTTAATATTGCAATGTTCAAAACCCTCAAGTAAACAGTGTAAAAATAGTACATATCTTCAGAAGCTTAAAATCAAGAAAGTAGCATTTCCCAGTACCGCTAGTCTAGCAACTTTAGCAAGCTTTAGCTTTATTTCTCTAGGCAACCTCCTTTTAATTGCCTGGGGTGTAGTATCAGCCTCCTGATTATCCACTGCTGGTGGTCTAGCTGCAACGTTATTCAGAAGGAACAAAGGAAAAGGAAAGCAAAATTTAGCATTAGAAACAAACATCTCACAGTTCTTATTCACAATAAATGTGAACAGAAATTTCCAATCTTACATTCTGCAACCATTTTTTCCAACTCACGAAGAGACTTTTCAAGCATTGAAGATTTTGGCCTAACACTTGAACCATCTTTCTTGTGCAAGTTATCAGATTTCTGCATAAAATTCAAATGAACTCATGACCAAGACAGAAAATAAAAGAATATATATAGTTTCACGCATATAATTCCAAAATCCATATGCACAACTTTCTCCATCACTAACAGTAATTGGAACAAAATGTACAGTTCAACTAGTGCTGGTTAAAAGAATAGTTTACTTTGTCCTTTCAATTCCTTTTAAATATAACACGCCCCATTCCATTTATGTCGGTATGCTTAAAATTAGGTGAAAATCATTTCAAATGAAAAATCATGCCTCATGACTAGGATTATCAATTGCGGATTGCGGAAAATGGCGGAAAGTCAATAATCTGCGATATCATATAGTGGATAGCGTCTCAGGCAAATAGCAGAAGTCACATAGCAGTTAAAAGATATGATATATAAGTATAAAAACGTAAATTGTATGCAAATAAAAATTGACATAATATTAACTCCAAAGTTCAATAAGTTGGAGACTCAACAGAGATGACTAGAGGATGCATGGGATACATAATGTAAACATGACACCACAGTGGATGGAATTATGGTCGGGGATCCAAGGAATTCCACAGATCAATAGTGTTATAATTTAACATCACTGCTCATAACAACAAAGAGAACTAGTCAAAGAACTGGGTTGAAGCAATAACGATATCATGCTTATTGCTTCACATCTTCATGCATATTTCTTTGCCTTATTAATTGGCTCATCGTTGGGGAATTCAGCTCTCATTTTGTCTTCCACAAATAAAAGCTATTCTCAAAAAAGCTTGTATGTTTGGTAAATTGTCAAATTGATAAAAACGAAAAAGGCTTTTTTTTTATGGTAAAAGGCTTTGAAGATTGAAAACTATCTGCTTATTTTTTGCTTAACTTTCATTTTCTCATTTTTTTCCCCCAACAATTAATTATTTTAAATACAAAACCAACTACTACAAATAACTTTGTACCCTTTTTTATAATTTTATAATAAAAATTAATTCTTCTAAACAATCCAAACAAAATAGATTATCTTAAAATCACTTCTCACCTAACATAATCAAAAACCACTAATTTCATACAATTAGCTGTAACAACAATTGATTATAAACAAATCGATTATTGAAATAATTCATTTACTCAGAGTTATTCCGAACACAGGCCATGTAATCCCTCAGTTTCAGTGTAGGACTTGTCTCTTAGTTGCAATGGAAAGTGGATTCTACTAAGAAAATGCTCATTTGGAAGGCAGTTGTTGAGAGTATTGAGCCACTTTGAGACTCGGGAGAGGGAAAACCCTTTTTGCTTAATAGCAAAAAAGAATTGATGAAAGCACCGCAGAGGACCTCTTTTTTGGGTATCACTGATTTCTTCAAATTAGTTATCAAACCAAAGTTAAAAAAGGGAGACACAGAAAAGCAAAATAAAAACTTACCGTTGCTTGAGTAGCAGACTTTCCCTCAGACAAGTTAAGATCTGGCAGTTCACGCATACCATTTTTTTCTTTTGTCCGATTGATATTTTCAAAATCATCAATATTACCAGGGGATCTTCCAGGTTGGGATTTGGAATGACCAAAAGCACCTTTTTCACTTGCATCTTTATATTTATCACTAACGTTCTTAGATTGAAAAGCTCCTGTCTTCTGCTTATCAGCTTCTTTTGCATCTGTTACAGCAGGAACATCATCACTTGATATTTTCAAAGAGACAAAAGGGTCCAATATTGGTTTTGTATCAGCAGTTTTCTTTTTCGAAACAATTCCAGAGATATCCAATTGATTCAGAAGTTTCAAATCATCATAATGTTCACCAGGTGCAACCAAATTCTCAGAGGAATTCAACGTATTCTTTTCCTGTAATGAAGCTGTTTTGCCAGATGCTGGCCTGCCAACTTTAGCAGTTTTATTTGATCCATGATTGTCGTTGTTTTCACCAGCATTCTTCAATATATCTTTTCTACGTCTTTTCTTTGGTTGCTGGTTAGGTACTGCAGGAGGTTCATGTCTTGTAATATAGAAAGAAAAAACAATCAGTAATAATAATTCATAATTTGTTAGGCTCAAATTATTTACTCCAATCTTGAACAAAATACATTCACTAAAAATTTGTAGTCAAGTGCCAAAGGAAAGAATGTTTACCAATAAGCCAAAATATAATGTTAATGTTGTTAGGAACACAAATCAAAAATTTAAAACCCTAGATTATCTAATAAAGACAAGCATGATGATAGATATCCAAAAAAGCAAAAGTAATAACTGATGAATAATTTGAGCCAGTTAAAAAAGTGAGGTTATTTAACAGCAAATACAATAAAATGGTAACAATAGATCAATCTCAGCAACAAGATCAACAAATAAAACAAATTGCAAAGAAACCTTTCTATGACTTGCTTTAACCTTGTGGTGTGAAAAGAACAAAATGTAATATCCAGAGTACATTTCTTGAAACAACAAAACTTACATGCGTTCCAATTTCCCCCTATTTACAAAGAACCCATCATGTTTGATTGCAGAATTGTCAACCTCAAAATATTCATCCTGCATAATGAACAATTTAAGAGCATAAAAAAGAGAGAGAGACAGAGACAGAGACAGAGAGATAGAGATATAAAAACAAAAAATCCATCATAAAGAAGAGTACTATTCTTGTCTGGCTGTCTCAGCAGTAAAAGATCAAGCGAGTCGTAAATAAACCCAAAAAAAATCCAAATATACCAACCAGTTCAGCATCATCTATAAATGAGTCTTCTGTATCATACTGATCATCATCAGGAACATCAAGCAGATCCTCATCATCACTACTATCCTTACCCTGAAAATGATTCAGCATCCCACTTATTCACAATACAGAAGCTACAGTTTATACTTAAACACACATACAATATTAATCAAAGGTTCAAAAATTTAATTCATGCAGCTGCAGAGCATAAAGTAACAATCTCTGCAAGCAATATACAAATACCATGTAAAGTCGTTCAATCTTCTCTATCACAGCACTGAAACGGTTTGGCTGAGAAGGATCTTTTTCTTCATCCTCAACAGGTTGACCCTAAAAAAAACAAAAAAGATGAGCAAAGACTCGTAAAAATAGTGAACATAAGACAACATAATTTCAAAATAACAATAAGCTGGATTCTACAATGATATACCATATAAAAGTTCCTGGAAAATAAATTGGGGGGAGGGGGGAAGCCTAGAGAGTTCAAGCCTTGTTTACCTTGACACCTTATATTTAATACAATTATGCTATAGAAAAACAGATCAATTACTTATACCACATAATTAAGAATGATGAGAATAAATTCAAAACAAGAGAACTTGGTAGCAAAAGAAGCAAAAAAAAAAAAAAAACTCGTGCCAGACACTGGTGAAGTACAGCATATTTACAACTACAAGTCCACTGACCACTGCACACCATACATGATTCTTAAATATTATAGACTATTAGATCATGGTAGTTAGTCCAGCCGTGTCTATTAACAGACATGTAAAACTGATTTCATAAAATTCTCAGCATTCAACGCACACAGATACAAATATGCATTAAACGAAGAACAACGCCTGAATTATGAAAATAAACAGATGCTTGTTAAATAGGGGGAAAATCCTGCAAATAATTCTGATTGACGCATGAACTAAAACAAATGCCTTAAACTAACGAAAAAAAGTTCTGTACCACACCTGCAAATCTGGTTTCCCTCACAAACATCAAGAATCACGTTACAGCACAACTGCTCTTACAATCCAATTTCACAATTTAGCACCCTAATTACACCACTTTACATCTACACAACTTGTATAAGTTACACCTCTCCGGTAAACACCGGAACCGGAACATGAACTAGGGTAAAAAGGCACATACAACACCATTCAAAACAACGAATTTAAAGTGAAATAGGATGATAGCTTCAAAAAACATTCCAGTTCCTCACAAAACCCCTTTGAAACCCAAAATTCAATCCAGAAATAACACCGCACCACAATGCAAAGACTTCACACGTGGCAGCGAATTAACAATGCTCTCGGAAATGACATCTAGCGAGAAACACAGAGAGGGAAGAAAAGTCTCACCGGAGCGATTGCGACGTGTGGCGCTGCCGAAGTGGATCCGTTGGGCTTGTTGGCGTCCTTCATCAGCTTCTTCCACGAGACTATGGTGGTCTCGCCTGGGCGGAGCTCCACCGTGAACATTTGCCGGTCGCCTTTCTTGACGAAGGACGAGGAGGCCCTCTTCTCCTCCGCCATCGCCGGAGCCGAATTCATCGAAACAGGAATGATTCGAGAATTAGGGCGCGAGAGTGTAACATTAGAGAAGAGAACAAGGGAATTGCTTGCTTCAGGCAGATTGCGCGGGATTCCCAAACTAATTTCCGAAAATTAAAGAAAAATCGAATTAACGGAGTGCGTGTGTGTGTCTGTTGGGGGTTTTAACTGCAATTCGAGTTTGGTGGAAAATATTTTCTTCTCGCTCTTTTCCGAGAAAAACACCAGGGAGGGAAAAGGGTCGGGTCAGAGTAAAACGGGTTTGGGTTGGGAATTACTTTATACTACTATGCTGTTTGGATACCTTTATGCTATTGCTAACTGTTTTGAAGTGTCCTCTTTGGGCAAGATCTAGTGCTGGTCACTTTCTTTACATCATGCTGCTACCAAAGTGGTACTTTCATAAATTGTCAAAATATGAGGGGAAGAAAAGAGAAAGAAATCTGTGTTCGTGGTGACCAGGGATAATTGTTAAAAGGGTCACTTCATTAAGGCTTGTTTATTCTGTTGGCCCAACTTGACCTAACAAATTATATGTTCATAAAAATCTTGTCCTATGCAGAACTTGACTTTTTTTTTTTACATCATCCACTCATGTTTTACTCAAATACCAACTCTAAAATGAGCATGGTGTATATTAGAATAGATTGGGAATTTAAGATAGATTCAAATTAAAACAGATAAATGTTAAATGTGATTTTGTTTGTATAAAAAATTTGTATGGAAAAATTATTTAAATTTAATATTTCATTTATATAAAATGCAAATTTAGTATTTATCATTATTTGTGCTTTTTTTAATATTTATAAATGTCATTGAATCAAATATTTGTACTATATTATAAAAAATAAATTAGTAAAACTTTTCTTTTAACTTAGGAATGTTATATTCTCACCTCCTTTGTGGGAACATTTTGTAAGAAAGATTTGTAAAAATCATTCATAGAAAGCCATATTTTTTTAGAAATATCATTTTTTAAATCATACTAAACATGAAAAACTAACATTTTTAATCTTAAATTCTCATGAAAGTAAAAAAAATTTAAGTTATCAAATGTCTCCCAAGTATAAGATGGATATATGAACTAGTCTAACTTATTTAAGGTTTGACCTACAAAACGGCATTTTTAACTAATTCAACCCAAAAAATAAATTGTCTTTTTATTCTAATTTTCATCTACTATACAAAACTCATGATTAAACAAGCAAGCTAGCGGTTTCAATAATAACATTAAAAGAAAAATTACAAATCTATTCATCAATAATGATTTTTTCCTTCCTTTATTTTATGCTAAGAAAAATATGAGGGAGAAACAAAAAAAAAATATTAATATAAAAGTATAAATATCAAATATTTTAAAATAAAAATAAATTATGAAAGGGTTAATATATAAAGGTTTACACATTTATACTAAAACATTAAAGTATTAACATATCAAACTTGCATATTTAATTTAAAATATATTAAGGTAGAAAGAGTATAATATTTTTTTAATTGAAAATATACTAAATTCAATACTTATTACTTATATTTATTTACAAACTTAATAGTAAAATCACTTATATTTTAAAAGTTTTCACATAAAGCTAACAAAAATAATGATTCTCTTAAACAGGTTAGCTCGCAAAATCTACAAGTTTCGCGGGTTGAGCTCAATTTCTCCTATAGTTGTGATGATTTTTTAAAAAAATATACCCCTTAACCTTGTCGACGACCAAAAAGAGGAATTGTGGCACAAAATCAAAGCACCAAGAGATGTGGGGTTTGATGTGGTTCTAATTAGGTTGGATTTATGACAGTTTGATGTGTTTTCTTATGTAATTTGTTCTATGGATGGAGATTTTTCCAACTTGATTTAAAGGTTGGGTGATGTTTTTAGCTAAGGTTGATAATGGGTCGAGCTTATTCTTGCCCAAATTTGGTTTGATTTTTTTATAGAGTCAATTTTAAAACCCAAACCTAAATCAACTAACACCCAAAAATATATGGGACAAGGTCAAATCAACCCAACTTTTATATACTATATTAATTTTAACATTATGTATAATTAAACTGTTAATTAAAAGAAGTACAAAACTTAAATTAAGGTGTGTTTTATAATACATTTAAAAATAAATAATTTAATTATAAATATGATATCATGATAAAAATATTAATAACTAAAATTATTTATTATTAAAGCACAATTATTCAATAAAACATATACTCATTAATAGAAAAGTATATATTAAATTGGATTAAGCGATAAAAAAACGTAACTCCAACTATCTTAAAAATTAAATAGGTCCAATTTTAAAATCTATCTTAATCAACCTCAAGGTGGATCGAGTTACCTGGCCAGATTGAGTAATGCTCACTCCTATTTTTTGATTACATACAATAGAATCTCCAGGTTTAGAAAAAGAAAAAAAAAAAGAGAGAGAGAGAGAGAGAACGAGAGAAAGATGCATGAAGATGAAATATTGTTATCGATAACCTTCGATGACAATGCGCATATAACTAAGGGCGATGAAGGGGTAAAGTGGGAGAAAAAGAAAAAAAAACAATCATTCATCTAAAATATAAAAAATATAATTACTATAAAATTGTTTCCAATGTTAGGAGACTTGAGAGTCTTCCATGCTAGTTTTCGTCTACCATGGTGTACATGTTATTTGTTGCACAAAGTTCATGAATCTAAATTTTTGGAGATTAAATTTTATTAGAATGAAAGGTTATATGAATATTGTATAATGAGTAGAGAAGGGTTACAAGAATATATAGTAGTTTGTGATACAATTCAACAAAGCAAAAAATAAGAATCTTAACTAACCATAACAGTAAAACTAACTATAACTATATTATTTTGTTACCCTCCCACAAGGTGGAGAGTATATACTAAGCACTCCTAGTTTAGATAACAATCTACCAAAAGGCTAAGGATCTAGTGGTTTGGTTAGAATATCAACAAGTTGGTCAATGAAAATATAAGTAACAAATAAAATAATTTTGCTTGAAGTTTATCTCAAACAATGTGACAATCAATTTTGACATGTTTAGTCCTTTCATGAAAAGTGGGATTAACAACAATGTGCCTAGCAGATTAACTATCACATTGTAGAAATACAAGGGAAACAAAAAGGCACACACAAATTCATAAGTAAATAATGTAACCACTGAAGTTCACAAACTTTGGATACTAAAGCCTTGTACTAACTTCGATGGAAAGACAACTAATTGTAGATTGCTTCTTTAATTTCCAAGAAATTTGAGTATCACCGAGATAAATGCAAAAACCAATAACAAATATTTTGGTCACACATGGTCCAATTAGCATCGTTAAAGGCTTTGAGTTACTTAACAAAATCAATAAAAGAAAAAAATAATCCTTGAGTTAGGGATGCCTTTACATAATGCAGGACACGTAAGGTTGCTTGATAGTGGGCAATGTAGGGAGCACTCATGTGTTGGCTCAATTGTTGGACAGTAAAATGAATATCATGTTTGGTAGTGGATAAATAAATAAATCAAGCGACCAATCAACCTATGATAACTGCTTGAATTATCATAAAGATCACTACTAGTGAATGTGTTTTTGACCATAGGTGTAATACCTATTTTTTTTATTATTATTAATTATCAATGGCATTTTCGTAAGAGGTTTCTCACTCCCCCGTACCTCGATAAGCAGGAGCTGAAACTTGAGCAAGACCTTGTTACTCTCTTCCTCTGGATTCCCTCTTTCTTTCTCTCTTTATCTCTCTCTTTCTCTTTCTCTCTCTAAGTTTTCACCCTTGGTCAGTTATAATTTTTTCACAGCCCCTCCCTCCTATTTATAGGCATTCAGGGGTACCCGGAACGACCCGTTCTGAATCAAGAACGGCCCGTTCTGGAGTCATTCGTTATATGCAAAATTTACAACTGGAACGGCCTGTTCTAAAATCGGAATGACCCATTTTCAAAAATCAGACCGACCCGTTCTCAAAATTAGAATGACCCGTTCTGGGGTTCATTTTAACACGCATTGACCATAATTGGAATGACCTGTTTCCAACTAAGGTTTTTAGGCATTTTTAGAATCTTGGAATGGCCCGTTCTACATTGGGAACGGCCTATTCTGGAATAACCCAAATTGGCCTCTTTACTAATTTGGAACGGTCCGTTCTGGTCCTTCAAAAATAGTTTACTTTCATCGTTTGGAACGGTCCGTTCCACTTTTTGGAACAGCCAGTTCTGGCCTAAAAAATAGAATTTCATATAAAAATTATTATTTTTTATTTATAAATATTTTAAAAAAAATCTCTAAAATGTTCTATAAAAACCCTTTTTATTAACTAATAACTATAAGAAAATAATTTTCATAAATATAAAAATAATAATTAACAATTGTATAAAATTTGGGATGTTACATCATCACTTAAGTCATTACTTAAAATACACCACAATGAAGACATGCGAGAAAAATAAGCATTCATATGTAAAACACAAGAAAAGAATTCCACCCAAACATATAGTCAACCCATATACATTTTAATCAAAATAATGTCATCATCACGTATATCCATCAATTATTATCACCACAATCACATCATCATATAGCTTATGTGTCATGCTCATGCTTGCATCAACGCATATGTAATGCAACCTCCTAAGAAACATTAATTCAGAGCGTTGCACAATGGGCAAACTTTATCAATCTCCTTAGCACCGCCACACATGGCCACACTGTTTATATCACTTATGACTAGTGTCATACTAGTAGTCACCACTTATGGTCAGTGTATAAATAATGCATTCCACGCCGTTTACATCACTTATGATCGGTAGTCACCACTTATGGCTAGTGTATAAAGACGCATTGCCCATTAATCACCACTTATGGCCAGGGTAAATGTGTATGCAACATGCACCAATGCTCATGCCATGTCACCTCATACTTTCATCTTTTCCATCCATACCAATGCACAATTTATAATAAGCCACATCCAACCACATTTGTATATCAATTCATCTAGACACACACCATTCTTACTCAATCATATAATAACCATCCATGGACATCATACAACTCACAATAATCATCAAAATACATCAATAGATATAGCATATTCATAGGTTGTGCTAGGCTTCACCAAGTTGCACCCAACTTTAAGCCAGAATAGAGAGCACACACATAGTTTTATGCCCATCGAAATTATAATTTCGCCCGACTTTAAGGAACCACAAAGAGCACCAAGTTTCTCTCACGCACGACGTTGGGGAATCACACCCAACACTAAAGCCAAATAGAAACTCCCCAAAGTGGTCACGCCTGATGTGAAATGTTCCACACTCGACTTAACTCCTTCTGGACCTCACATTCATCAATATGAATGCAAGCTCGGCACTAAGGAATCAAGCTTGATGCCAACGCATTTTCCAAA